GCTTACTAGCTCTTTGTAATGAAGATGCCCAATAGCCATTCCCATCACACAGGTCACCTTGGGCCTCTGACTGGCTGGGTGGATCAAGTAGACCTTGACCTCCTCTTAGTGTGACTAGCCAGGAGTTTGCCTCAGGTGACTCCATTAGCAGCTTTTCTTCCCTCAGTTACTGAATAACATCACTTACATTCCTTTCTGCCATTACAGATAACAATAAGCAAAGTACTCTCAGCCACTCATGGGTTTGAATCTCTGAACTTGCAGTTAACACCCCAATGCCTAATTCACAATACTATTGTGTTTTAAAATCAGGAAGTGTGAGTCCTCCTTTGTTCTTCTCTTTCAAGATTGCTTTAGCTGTTTGGGTGGGGTCTCTTGCTATTCCATATAAAGTTGAGGATTGGTCTTTCTGTGAAGAAGGCTGCTGGAAGTTTGATCAGGATTGCATTGAATCTATAGATTGCTTTGAGTAGTATTGACATCTTAACAGTCTAATCCATGAACTTGAAACTTCTCTCCACTTATTTAAGTCTTTAGTCCCTTTCAGTGATGTTTTATAATTTTTGTTGTATAAGTCCTTTATGTCCCTCGTCAGGCTTATTCCTAGTATTTTATTCTCTTAAATGTTAGTGTAAATGGAATTGTTTCCCAAATTTCCTTTTCACATTGCAATCTGGATACTTATTGCTGTGGCTAGGACTTGTAATACTATTGTTGAATTGTTGCCCCTTTCTAGTATAAAGCTCTCAGTCTTTCTCCATTAAGTATAATGTTAACTGTATACCTTGAATCATATTTGGGAATTTTCCTATCATCCCTAGCTTCTGTAGCATTTTCATCAAGAAAAGGTGTTGGATTTTATCAAATGCTTTTAATGCCATCCATAAAGATGATCATTTGTTATTTTGATAATGATACTCATTACATTAATTGATTTCCTATTGTTGAATCATTCCTGCATCCCTGAAATAAATGTTACTTGGTCTTAGTGTATACTGTTGTATTCTGTTCGTTAGTATTTTGCATCTATATTCATAAGACATATTGACTTATAGTTTTCTTGTGTCTGTTTGGTTTGCTTCAGGTGTTAAATTAGGAAATATTCCTTCCCATCTTGGAAGAGTTTAAGCAGTACTGATATCAAGTCTTCTCTAAATGTTTGGTAAGATTCCCCATCTTGGGGATCTAGGGAAGGATCTGTCATTTGCCTCTTCCAGCTACTGGTGCCTGTCCCAGCATTCTTGCGTTATGTCCCAAATACTCCAACCTCTGCCTCTATGGTCACATTGTCATCTTATTCTCTATCTCTCTAAACTCCCTTTGCTTCTGTCTCATAAGGATACTTGTGGTGGCATTAGGGCTCACCTGGGTAGTCAGAGTAATTTCTTCAGCTCAGTATTCTTGCTTTATCTGCAGTCAGAGACACTTTTCCAGATAAGGTACCATTAATAAATTTTCAAGGATTAGGACACGATACATTTATATGGCTATTATAAATTCAATCTACTACACTTGTTTTAGGAAGATGGTGGTTATTGGTGATCTTAGTAAGAGCAGTTTCAATGGATCAATGAGGACATAAAGAATCACACCTACCTTTTGTGCTTGCTACCATGTAGAGAACTGTCATCTGTCCTAAGACTCTGTGCAAGTTGATCACATCATTTTTCCCTGGTCAGTTATGAATGTGTGCATGCCTCTGGTTAATTGGAGTTTTACAGATGAACGTGAGAAAGGAACAAAGTTTTCAGAAGTCTCTGCTTGTTCCTTCAGATTCAGTGTTGTTGACCTTTTTTTGGTCCAAGTCGACATTGTTGACAGTGATCTTTATTTCTGTAGACAGAATTGGATTTATTTATCTTAATATCTATTCTGATTAATAATAACAGGTGCTGTGTCATTTCTGTTGTGACCTGATTGATAACCGTGTTCTTGAAAATTTTCTATTAAAAATGTGAACTGGATGCCGTTTAGATAATACATAGGTATAGTTGGCATTTCAAATGCATAAGGTACGTGAAGTAAGTGAGATCAAAGACGTGATGAGAAAAATGCTGTTATGATGAGAAAAATGCCTTATTTTTCTGATAACGCTGTTGTACTTAGTGCTAAGCTGTCTTCAGTTGGTCTTTTCAGGCTTTCCATGGTTCCTCCTAGATGATGGGAGCAACAGAGGTGACAAACCAGTTTCTTCTGGCTCTGTGAAATTTTATGGATAAAGAGATAGTGACCACATCAGAAAGGGACATACTTGGGAGTAGGATGGTGTTTGAGTAACAAAGGAATTCCCAGTTCTTCCTTGAGTTGGAACTGAAATGACTGGGAGCCTCTGGTGGCTTTCCTGCCCATGTATATGTGTCTGTGTTTTAGGAGAAAACAAAGTGTAGGATTCTGGTTCTTCTAAATGAGAAGCTGTATTTTCCCATGAAATGGATTTGATTACCACAGATAAAAAGAATCTTACTTAATCTTCATTAAATATTTAGTTGGGGGACAGTTTTTCTGTACTGACTACATGTGTTCCTGTCAGTTTATGTTTTGGGGATAGAGACCCTATGTTGGCATGGTGGAAAGAACACCTGCTTTGAAGTTAGGTAGACTTATCTCTTTTCTGGAGTCCCAGTGTGGCGCTGTAGGATACGTTCTACACTGCTAACCACAAGGTTGGCGGTTCAAACCATTTACAGTTCCACATTCTTCCTGGAGGCTCTGTTTCCTCAATGATAAAATAAGGGGGTGAAAGCATCTGGCACTATGGCTACCACATAAATATTTTATTAGATGTCACTATTAGCACATTTTTTCATCTGCTTATTTAGTTATTTTTATTCATTTATTGATACTTAAATTTCCTGACTGCCTTTGGTGTGTTTATATTAAGCAATGAGTCCTAAAAGAAGATGTATTTGTTGACATAGCTTTTCTTTTGGGAAAAGGAAATAATAACCCCATTTTGTATCTTGTAACTCTGTGACAATTCTAGTAGGATCTTCATTATATATGCATGGCCTGTATTTGCAAATCCTCCTTCTTGGTAAAAATTTGTTTGTAATCCTAAGGTTAGTACTTTGCGGTGCTTTCAGAGTCATTTGTAGACACGCACAGAGTGGTGAAAAATTACATTGCTTCCTACTGAGGTTGAACAAAGTTCTGTCTACCTCTTTTAGTGGCTTTTTAATGTTCTGTTTAGTGCCATAATTATTTTGCATTTTTTGTGTTTGGTGATGGTGATTTTGCTGTTTAAAATGACTCCTAAGTGTAATGTTTTAATGCTGTCCCATGTTACTAAGTGCAAAAAGACTATGAGTACCTTAAGAAGAAAATGTGTTTGTTGGTTAGCTTTGTTCAGGCTTAAGTTACCATGCTGTTGGCTGTGAGTTTTATATTAACGGATCAACAATATATGTTAAATAAGATGCTTATAAATGAAAACACACATAAAACAAAGTGCTATATTGATCACTTGAAAAAAATGGTCATGACCAGAGGCTTTGCAGTAACCTAACCCTGAATTTCCCTAGGAGCAGTGGTGGTTTCAGGGTTTATTAATTCATTATATGTGGCAACTTTATAGAATGTAACGACTATAAATATTGAGTCTCTGAGACTCACTATACTAATCATTAGGTCTGGGGTTCCAGTACCTTGGAAAACAATGACAACCATCAGAAAGTGCTTCCCGAGTGAGGTTTCTTTCACTGTTAGTGTAAGGAGGGCTGGTATAACAAAGGCGTTCAGATTTTGGAAGGGAAGTTGCTGAGGAAAAGAATCTGTGAATAGGTCTACGTACCCAACGTGGAGTATTTTAGGAGGTGTTTGGATGGAAAACTGTTAGCATCCACTTGGGAGAGAATTCACACAACAGACAAGTCATTGCTGATTGTCTGCCATATTGTGCTTAGGCTGCCATGTGGTCCCAGGGGCTGCCATAAACAAAGGCTAGCAGGTGGTCAGGTACTTCCTCTGCAGTGCCTCAGCTTCCTGACCTGACGCAAACTGCTTAGATATTAAATGGGGATGAAACTATATGTCTTTGATTTCTTAGACCCCTCAGTTTAATAACACTGTGGAGGATTGGGTGGGGGAATATCTCCTCTTAAATTATTCATCACTTGTAACCCATTGTAAGATGTTTCCTGGTTACGGAAATATTTATGCTTTTTTTTTTTTTTTAATAGTGCATCGTATAAACCAAGCAGTATGGTAATACCCAGCTCAGGGATGTTGGGAAAATTAATAAGATAATATATGTTAAGTGCTTTCCTAAGTTAGTATTCAGTGAATTGTAGCTATTATTAACAAATGAAAGGACATGAAAAAGAATTTGATTGGGAACACCTGAAGAAGGAATTGAAAACAACAAGGTCATAATGTGACCAGGATCTGAAATAGGACTAGAGTGAGGAGGAAAAAACGAGAACAAGAGATAAGATCAAATGGTTTTACAGGAGATAAAGAAGTATGTAAATGAGGAGAAAGTTTCACCCTTCTATAAGCAAAATTGTCTTTACTTTAGTGATAATACTTCAGTGATAACTTCATGGGACATTTGTTGTAATGAGTGGAGGGAATACGGTAATTTTGTGACTCCTGTGTCATCTTCTGGGCACAATAAAATATTTCTGGGTAATCCTGTGTCATCTTCTGGGCACAATAAAATATTTCTGGGTAATCCTGTGTCATCTTCTGGGCACAATAAAATATTTCTGGGTAACAAATACGAATTTGTTGCTAAATAAGCTGCTAATCACAGTAAAGTATTGGCTAACGCACGGGTTTAAAAATAGTAAAAGAAAGATAAGTGTTGTGTGTTGTTTTGTTTACCTTTTGTTTTTATTGAGATGGGAGGAGGGCGGCTGACTAGGGACTTGTCATTAACTTATTAGTTTTGTTGACTGACCGGGAAATCTTACCTACATTTCAAACATCTTAGGTTTTAATTAGAGCGGTACTGAAAGTTTTAGCTCTTCTTTCTTCTTTTCTTTTTTTTTTTGTCCCAGGTCCAGCAAGACTATGAATCTCTGTTCCAAATGCTTTGCTGGTAAGTGCAGAAAAGGGTTATGTATGTATGTATTTCCTCTTTTGTATTTTTCTTTTTTAAAAACTATCTAAATTGTTTGTCCCTCCTTTGGGTATATATGCTTGGGGTTTTATTTTCCTAGCTTCTGTCTGAAAATAGTTTTTCTTCATCAAGATGCTTTATAATTTTCCTAGGACTGTTGAAACTGTCTTCACTGAGTGAAATTCAGTCTTGTGTACTTGCACCAGACAAGCGTTTCCCATTTTGCAAAGCTGTTAGAGTGCTCTGAAATTGTAATAAGTTGTGTTTTAGTAGGCTAATATACTGGTGTGGTCATGTTAGTGTAAGCACTTGACTGCTAACCACAAGGTTGACGATTCAAACCTACCAACTGCTCCTTAGAAACTATATACAGTATTTCTGAGTCAGAACCAGCTCAGCGGCACATAACAGTATATATATAGTTGATATTATATCTATCTACATCTCGCTATATATGTATATATATGTACACACACACACACAACTACATATACATATACATATGTATATGTAGTTGTGTGTGTGTGTACATATATATACATATATACGTAGTTGTGTGTTTATATACATATATATATATCGAGAGAGATACATATATATGTAGTTGTTAAGGAGCTCTGGTAGCATAGTGGTTATGAATCGGGCTGCAAACCGTAAGGTCAGCAGTTCGAAACTACCAGCCACTTAGCGAGAGAAAGATGAGGCTTTCTACTCCCTCAAGATTTACAGCCTTGGAAACCCTGTACAGGGTCGTTATGGGTCAGAATCGACTCGACGGCACTTAACAACAATCCAGCCCGTCACAGATATCACTTTGGTTGTACTTTAGATTCATCATTATGTGTAGAATGAAGAACCTGGGCTGGGCTGGGCTGGGCTGGATGTTTGCCAGCTATTCTTTCAAGACCCATAGCGCTTGAATGATGATGACTCCTTTATGAAGTTGAAACCTTCAGTTATTTTAGAATTTTGTATCTAGTGATCTCATCTAAAATGACAAAGTCTGTATCAATTAGGACGTGTTTAACTTCTTTATTACTTCATTGTCATCTTGTATCGATTATGTTACTTGTAAAAGGAAACTTTACATTTATGACTAAATTAGGAGATAAATGGGAAGGAGTTGACAAAGATTCAAAGAAATTTGGTTAACTTCAAAGACCGATAAAATCTCCTGTTTTGCAAACAAAGAAAATGTGATGCTAAGAAATTCAATGATTTTCCAAAGTCATGCTACTGTAAAAAATGCAATGCTTTCAAACTTTTTAAATGATCTTAGTATTTATAACATTATAACACAGTATCACTTTTTTCATTTATATTTGTAACTCAAAGATTTCACAAAACAGGATCATCCCAAGTGGGATGATAGAAGAAATTTTGAATGAATTTACTCACATACCTCCTGCAGCTGTGTGACATCATCACCACCTCTACCCACAAACCCTTAGAAATACTTACTGTTGGGGGACACAAGGGTGTGATAAAAACCTGTAGACAATTTTTATATTTTATAAGGGAATGAACTGCAGTTATGTGCCAAGTGGTGGATCATTCTCTGAGCATCATTGATGACAGATGCTTATAAGAAGGCAAACGTATTTGAAAAGAGGAAACTGCATTTTTAAGAGTTTAAAAATCTTATGAGTGAACAAATATAAGAAAGCGTACTTATTTTTACCTCTTTAGAAGAAATAAAAGATGTTTCTCTTTAAAAAAAAAAAACCTGTCACTAATGTATCTTTTATTTACAGACTAAGACAAAAGTTCTTTATTGAGAAATCAAAGTAAGCAATCTATTTAAATCTGCAGACAAAATTTGAACATATTGTTCCTTTAAAGAAACTTGATATTAATTCACATAAAATTGGACAGATAGTGGAGAAATGATTATTCACAGTGGCAGAAGTTTTTTTCTTTTTTATGGAGTATTTTAAAAAGGAATGCTTCTAATGTATTTCTGGTTAGATTTATAGAGAGGCATAAGGCTAGAAGAGCAAAAGTTTAAGGGGTCTCTTGTCAGGTAAAGTTTAATTTAAAATGCAATCTAAACATCTTGTTATAAATGGTGGAGTTAATTCATTAATTAATTTCAGTGTAATTTTTTAGCATATTTACATGATACATGGTGGTGATGTGCCATGGAGTTGGTTTTGACTCAGCACCTTGCTTAGGGTTTCCAAGGCTGTAAATCTTTATGGGAACAGAAAGTTTCATCTTCCTTCTGCAGAATGGCTGGCAGTTTTGAACTTCTGACCTTGAGGTTTGCAGCCCAACTCGGAACCACTACGGTACCAGAAATCCTTATATGATATATAGTATTTATTACATAACACACATATTTCTTAGTGGAAAGATAACTAAACAAGCTTAATTTGTTTTATGATTAGTTGTGTTCCTTATTGAAGAATATTGCAATAAATAAATGACACATAATATATGAAGTATAACCTAATATGACTCTAAGGCCAACTTACTTGTTTTTGTAGAAATTGGTGTTTAGGTATTTGGTTAAATGGTAAGTCTTAGACACTGGGTTCTGATTCTAACTTTGGAGAAAATAGTAAGTTATAGTTAATGTATCTTTGGGAGTGCTATGACTCTGTAGTAAAAGCATTGGACTGCAAACCACAAGATCAGCAGTTAGAGCCCACCAACCACTGCAGCGAAAGGTGAGGCTGCCTGTTCTCGCAGAGATTTATAGCCTCAGAAACCCTTTACACAGGGTCACTATGAGTTGGAATTGACTTGACAGCACTTAACAACAATATTATATTTTTGGTATTAGCCTTTGTCAGATCCTGGGTTAAAATTAGCAATCATTTTCACTGTTGAACTTTTTGATATTGTCATATAATTATGATTTTTAATTCAAAATGGACTAGAGAAGATTTAAGGAATGAGATAACCAGTATTAAGGCAAAGTTGTATCATCCTTGCTGCATACTTTGTATCACAACCTAAAAATGACCAAGCAGGTCATTTGCTGTCAAATTTCAGTCTAAATTGACAATTATTGATTAGCAGAGTTCCATAGTTTGGGATTGTTTCCCCCGCAAAAAAAAACAAAACAAAAACAAGAAAACCCTGAGGGAAATGATTCAACGCTGATTGAGAAAAGACCACAAAGCAATATGCATAGTTGTTGTTGTGTGTCATTGAGTCAGTTCCTACTCATATTGACCCTGTATAGGGTTTCTGAGAGTGGCTGATGAATTTGCACTGCTTTGACCTTGCAGTTAGCCATCCAGTGTTCATTATACAACATTACACCAGGACTGTAGGATGCATGTGGTGTAGAGTATTCCATTTTTAATTAGGCAACTTTTAATGTATATGATTTGAATGTGAGAAAGCTAAAAAAATTAAAATTAAAATTAAATTTTCATAGTTTCAGTGTTGAGAAAAGGAGCTCTGGTAGCATAGTGGTTACAAATCGGGCTGTGAACCACAAGGTCAGCAGTTCAAAACTACCAGATGTTCCACGGTAGAAAGATGAGGCTTTCTGCTCCCATAAAGATTTATAGCCTCGGAAACCCTGCACAGGGTTGCTACGGGTTGGAACCGACTCCACGGCACATAATCAGCACCATCAATGTTGAGAGATTTTAATTTTGCCTAATTTCAGTTAGGCATTGTTGTTAAGTACTGTTGAGTTGATTTCCAAAATGCAGCAAGTGAGCTTGAACTTTCGACCTTATGGTTCAAATAAACTTTGCAGTCCAGTGCATTACCCCACAGCACCACACCAGGACAATATTATTAGTATATTATAAAAATCATAACTTTTTACAAAGTTTAGTGTATTCTATTTATGCCTGATAGTCTCCAGAGTAGTTAGTTTCTGTTTGGAATGAACAAATTTGATTATAGCTTGCAGTTTGTGAAATCTGCATGTTGACATCCCAGGTAAGTGATACAACAAACAAGACCATGTATAGGGTAAAATGGTAGGTGGTGGTATATGCTGTGAAGTCAATTCCGCCTCATAGCGACCCTGCATAGGGTTTCCGAAGCTGTAAATCTTTACAGGAACAGAAAGCCTCATCTTTCTCCCACGGAACAACTGCTAGTTCGAATTGCTGACCTTGAGGTTAGCAGCCTGACTCATGACCACTATGCTGCCAGACCTCCTTGAAATGGTAGGAAAACCAAATTTATATTTATAGTGACTTGACTTCCATAGTAGTTTCCAGAATAGGGTAACAAATTCCATTGGATCACAAGCGAGCTAGAACATCTCTTCATGGGCATGCAGCTCTTACTGGTTATATTTTATTTTACACTGTCATCTTTTTGTCTGCTTCTTTCCTTTTCAGAAGGCCAGAGGAGAAGTGGTCTATGGCAATCACTGTATAAAGAGAAGCGCTGTAGGTTACTGGTGAATTTGAGGATCTGTAGTAAGAGTCATGGAGTTCTGGTGTGGCACTGTAGCTAAGCACTGAATTGCTAACTGCAAGGTCAGATCCACCAGCCAAACCCTATTACAGGGTCACTATGAATTGGAGAATTGACTTGATGGCACTTAACAACAGTAAGATGCACGGAGTCCTGGTATGGTGCTGTAGGATAAACGCTGAACTGCTAATCACAAAGTTGGCAGTTCACACACTGGGAGTTCATACTTCTAAGTTCATACCTTAGAAACCCTATACAGGGTAGCTATGGGTTGGAACTGACTTGATGGCATATAACGGTAAGTGACACAGAGTTAATCATAAAATCTTTAAGTTCTTCTTGTTATGCATATTTCTTTTTAGAAATTATGGGAAACCTATGTTTGCTAAGTGCGGTTGAGTCAGTTTCTACTCTTAGCGGCCCTGTGTAAGATTTCTGCGACTGTAAATCTTTGTGGGATCAGAAAGTTTCATCTTTTTTGTGAGGAGCAGCGATGGGCTCAGATTGCTAGGCTGGTAGTTCATAGTCCAATGCTTATACTACCCATTGTTGTTAAATGTTACTGAGTCTATAACAACTCA